TAGCCGTAAATAATATTTTTCACATCATATCGTGATTGTTCGAATATCTGCATACATATTTAGTCAGATATTCGCAAGGAAAAGTAAAAATAATAGCGATAAATCCATGATAAACGCATTCGTAGTAAAATAACTCGGCACAGAAAAGTAATTAGTAATAAATTGCCGCGGTCTAGTGCGTACTCGTTTCGATTTCTTTATGCTTCAGTGAATAACATCTCCAAATAAAGTTCGATATATTTCAAAACATATTGTATATTTTTTAAAAAAGCAGTTTATAAATTTTATTACGGGAAAGTAAAATAAGAATTCTTTTCCTATATATTTTAATGTAGATATTTTATTTTTTATTTTCTTTACTTTAAAAAAATAACTATTTGCAATATATCTTTCCACTCTGCATTGTTTGACTCTCTCTCTCTCTTTCTTTCCTTTTTCGAAAGAATCGAAAGGTGACAATAGGAATCTGTAGATTCAATAATCTCTCGCGTGGAGAGAATTTTTTAAATAACTCGATAGGTCGATTTCTGTCGCAAATACGAATAGCTCGTTCTATTTTTTACGGTCAAGCTCTACCATAGCAATTGAACGATTGTTTTGTCGTAGTTCACGATATTTCCCGCTAGTGCAATTCTCTGTTAAAAATTGATCAAAGCCAAATTCTAAATATAGAACATATTCGCGCAAAACGAGGGCACACGCGTGACGCAACAAACGAAGAGTTAGTTCCGTCCGCGTCGCATCTGTCGTTTATCATGTAACGCAAGGAGATTTGTCAAGATTGGTTCGATGTTGCACACACGTTTCTCGTGACGTCGTATTCATGGTAAAGTGCTGTATCGAACGGACGTAGATAACATATGCTACAATCGTTCACAGTATTCTTTGCTAACAAAACAAACAGTCGAATTTTTAACCAGAGATGTAGTATCATTCTTTTGAAAAATAATTGATAATTCCTTGACATTCAAAGATAGCAACGACGAACATGATTTTAAGTATTTCAAAATTTAATCGGATTTTCAAATCTAAAAATAATTTTGTTGCAAACTTTTACTGATTACTAGAATATGAAAATCTTTTGTAGCATCACTCCAGATTTGTATACGTAATTATTTTGATGGGGTTCAACAAAATTAGTTTCTAGCTAAATTCTTAAATACTTTAGCAAAATCGTAAATTATTTCATTTAACTTGCATTATAACGAGTTAAATACAGTAATTTACGTTGGAAAATTTTAATGTAACTATCACGTAAATGTATTGGCTAACAGGGTATAAGGAAAACCGGCCATAACTGGCACCATAGGGGTTATAGTCGATTACAGTTCACGATGCGCGAAGAATATGAGAGGTGGAGGAACACATATATCAGTGGCGTGAAACAATTTCGATATTTGTGGTATGCAATGGCGATGCGGTTTATGGACGCAATTCGGAGTGCCATTGTATTGCACTGCAGCTTTGTATTTCCGCCTCTTTCGCTGTATCTCTCTGTCTGTGTACATTTCAGCCAAGCCATATACATCGTGACATATTATAAACTATAAAGTAACTATTCTTAAATCATGTTAAGTCTATTGTTAATTTATTAGAAATTTATTTTAAATAATTTTTATATATAATTTTGATTTTATACATATTCATAAGTTGTCAATAGAATAAACGTTTTGTACGAACATTAAATTAATAAACCTTTCAATTTAATAATTTTGTTTTTTGATAATGTGTTAATTGTTTTTATTCTGCAATCCTAGAAATAAACATTCTATATACGTTTTCTCTTAGATTTTGGTCACAGTTATTTTTGTTTGTTTGAAAAATAAATGCGTTTCAGAATTAATTTTGCTGCCATGAAAATTAGCATTTGTTTAACATTCATAGAGCGAATATTTTTAATATTTTAAATATTGAAAGATATATAGGTATACATAAAATTTCTATTTTCATAATTTGGCATTTTTGTAAATCAAATTTTTTAATTAAAAATCAAGAATTACTGTCATCTTTTCTTCTTTAACAATACCTTAATAGTTAATAACTATATTGCATTAAACGATTCTGTACATGACTGTCCCACCAACATTGATTGTGACAATATTGTCTACTCACACAGCGTTATCATGGAAATAAAATCTTTCACAGCTTTTACGAGGGATTGGTTTTTGGTCAAGCAATTTCGATCACTCTGGCGAGATGAGTCTAGATGAATCAGAAACAATAAATCTTTTTCTCTATCTCTCGTCGAGCGTTCTGTGCGAATTCTGTATCATCGCACACGCACAACGTAACAATATCGTGCGTTATATTTGCCCGATTAAACATCCTCATGAAACTGAATTTCGAAACGATCTCCAGTGACAAATCACAATTATGCTTATTCATGAATTTTAATTTACGTGTTTTCCTTTTTCTGTGCAAGCAAAATGCAAAATGGACAAACCTACAATTTAATGTGCATTTTGTAACTCTTCAAGCTCAATAAATCTCTACTTTGCGACAGAAAGCTTTTAGAGAATAAAATTCTACTTATAATTTTATATGCTGTTTATTTAGATGTATGATTTTACATATTTTATATGTGTCTTATATATTTTATATGTTATAAATAAACATTAGATCGATGAGAATAAATCAAACAAGAGAAAGAATTCAATATTTACTGCAGTGTGTTTTAGAATCTTTTAAGATGTATTTATTATAATGTATCCTTAAAGACTATAATTTGAGTTGTTACTTCCAACTTTAGTTTGTGATTGCATTTCAAGCTCAAGAAATTAAATCGGCGCTCAATTTATAAAACTGAAAAAATGTATTGCAAATTGGCGTATGTAAAAATAAGAGTCTTTTACATATTTTATTTTATATGTATTTTCATATTTGTATTTTATATGTATTTTCATATATGTTTTTTCATATCATGCGTCATATAAAATTAGGAATAATTATTCTTGAATGCTGAAATAAATTACAGATATTTAATATAAATTTAAAATAAAAATTATTATTAACTGCTTTCTAAGCATATTATTATTGTGTTACAAGGTGCAATAATAAATCTATGTTTGCATAATATCTATCTAAATTTCTTTTTTATTTAAATGCTACCAAATTAAATTTAAAATAATATTTTTTCATCTAAAAATATTTCAAGCTCAACTTTATACATGTACGCTTATTCTTCTAAAACAGCTTAAACTGCTGCGAGAAATTCTATCAGTCTGGAGTATCCAATGGTCTCAAGGTGATCCTATGTTTTGTACCAATATCTTTTAGTAACGCAATTCTTGTAAATTGAAATTCCCACCAAATTGTTGAAGTAACGTGGTGTACCGCATATTCTTCAATAAAGAGACATAGAAATAGCGAGTCGTCGCGTTTCATCGGAAATCAACCATCGTTGGATTCGATTGATTCCTGTATATTCGTTTGAACGATACGCGAATGCAATATAATAGACGAGGTTGAAAGTTGAGAACTTTTATATTGAAATGAATCGCTATCTAGGTCTCAAGTGCCTTTCATCCATTCGGAAAATATCGCGCAATAATTTTTGAGAACTTATATTCGCTAGCACACATCAAGCTTTCGATTCATAAATCAATAGGATATCGATATATCATTGCACCATGAATACACCGTCTGAATATTCAGTAATCTTTTTAGAATATTGCTTATGGAATTTTGCAACGATTCCTTCGAGAAATGTATCTGAATAGTAGCATAGAGACGTGGAAGAAAAGAAAACTGTTACTAGTCAGACAGAGAAAAAGCTATACAATTTTGTTACAATTTATCAATTACATATTTAATCACGTTTATATGTAACATAAGAATAATTAAATTACATCGTATAAATTGCATAATAATTATAATTAATTTAATTAATAGATGAGAGAAGATATTTTTATTAATGTTTCCATATTACATATATCTATAACATGCTTTTAACATTATCATTTATATTACCTTGTCTGCTGTAACCGCAAAACAGGAAATCATTAACAATGTAAATTTATGGCCGAGTTTATGTGGTATTTTGATTCACATGATTGGATCATTAAATTTTATATCAACGGAAACATTAGTTCTCTGACTGTGCAATCGACCACTACCTTGCTATTAAATTTTTTACGAATATATTACAACAGCTACAACGCTTTTGTCACTATTCTATTATTTCCACCGTCGATAATAATTTTTTTCCATTAAAGCTACGAGCGTCAATGCGGAAAAACTCGTTAACTTTTCGATGATTATTGTGTCAGAATTATTTACAATCAACGTGCGGCTTCGATAAATCATATTCTGGCAAGCTCTTCTCTGATAAATGATTTTATTTAAAGATTGCATCAGTTTTGTTATTATTATAAAAGCATACTTAATAATTATTAATTGTTCAATAATTGTAATAATTGACGCATACAGAAATACATATGTACATAATTATGTATAAAAAATTAATTAAGTGTAAATCTGTATAAAATTATGTATTGAGAAAAAAATGGCCAATTTATATTAATTAATTACTGTATAACACTATGTTTAACGATGATACCGATTATTTACTTATCGTGTTAAAAAAGACATACTTATTTTCAAATAATCAAGTAGACCTGCAAAGTTCACTGTGGTGATATAATGTAGTATAACGTAATGTAATATAGTAACAAGAAAGTTCTCTATGTACGTAAACATTGAACTAAGTTAAACGCAATGTTGTCGTAAGATAATGTTAGAGCGATTCGCCAAGTCCTGAAGGAAACGCACTGGGTAGTAAGGAGAGGACGTCGGGAATTTGAGAGCGTGTTCTCATCCCGTGGCCGTGTTAGGAAATTGCTTTCCTCTGTGCTACGGTGCATCCAACGTAAATTAGAATACTGCGGTGACGCAGCCACGAGTGTGAGTACGCGCGAGTATTACTGGCGTATTAGTGTGCCGCACGGCTTGCGACTGGTTTGATCCAATTTAATGTTCTGCTTGCTCTCCTTGGGTTTCAGATCTGGACACGATGCTGTACGGATACACGAATAGCATATACGTGCTGGACCACACGCCTGAATCCTTGCCGGTGAGTACAATTCGGCACATAATAGACCACTTAGGTACAGCTGTTATTGCGATCCTCATGATCCAGGGTTGCTTTCATTATATCATCGCTGATCATATATGTATATTTAACTAAAGGAAGGAAAGGAGTTGTGAAATATTTTGTTTTATTAAAATAACTCGCAAGATATTTATATGACGTAATTATTTTTCATAATTTTGATGATTGCCTCCAGAATGCACCGCAAATTGTATTTTATATAATTTCTTATCTATTCCGTCTTATTTTTTTCTCTCTATTTACAAATATTAACGGAATAATGAAAGTGATGGAATAACTAAACAATAAATTGTATTTAACTACTTAAAGTAGTTTGAATATTTGAAATACTTGGAACATAATTTACATAAGTAGTGATATCACGAATACGTGCTGTAAGTGTGATTTAATAACTTTCTTAGTTCATTACAAAGTGATAATTGCGGTTTAACTTATACGCGCATATATATTTGAAGAAAATTAATTCGACAAACAAGCCATCAACGCGTGCGTTACAATACGTAATCAGACCGTTAACCGCGAACGTTGCTACAGAATGCATCATTTAGTGTAACTATTATTGTCGTAATCACACACCACACGTAGAGTTCTGCCGTCAAAGTGGTAAACGAGCTAAATAACAGGTGATGACGTATACGTAGGAATAATTCAAAATGCATTGTAAAATATTACTTTATCTTATTATAAAATCGATCACATACACTGCAATAATAACTGATTATCTGGACACGATAATTTGAATATATAACGTGTAATTCGGGAAAATTCAGTTCTCTGTGCACAAAATAAGTAACTATTCGATACCATTATTCCACGTCCTAATGGATATGCGATTCTCGATTAGACCCATCAATTATTGTTATAATTGCATAACCAAACTACGCGCTGTTAGATGCATAATAACACATAGATCCCAATCACAATAAACGGATTAATTCGATATTCGTAACGTAATATAATTACTCAATCATGTAACTGTAATTTGCAGAAGTCACGTTAGATTTTATGAATAGTGACAATAGTATTTAATTATTTATTATTTATTACACTAAATTTTCATTAAATTTAATGAAAACGTTTATGTCGATTTTGGCACCAATTATAATTTAAAGTAGCGTGCAAGCTTCGAATTTTAAAATTTTGATGTATAAAATAAACTAATTAATGTTATTTATATATTCCAAAGCATTATTTAATAAATGATTTTTATTGGATAATGCTTTTGAATAGTTTACACATACAAGCATACGTGAATCTGTGTAGCGTTTATCAGATAGATTGCTCGTGTAGTTGTTCGTAGATAATGTTAATCGCCATAATGCATATGGAATAGGAACTGTTACGATAAATAAACGCATAATTAACTAGTACTGTTATTGTTAAATTAGTATTCATTGTCGAACATAAAAGCCATTGCAATTATTTGCGTAACGAATAAATTAATATAACATGAGTAAGATATCATTTTATCAGATATATATTATTCTACAAATAAAATTATCTATCCCTAATATAAATTATATGATTTATTATAATATGTAATTTGTATAAAATTTTTGCTAAATATATATCTAATAGAAACGGTATATTATAAGTCAAAAGCAATACTGTATTTTCAGAAATTTTTTTATTTTATTTAGAATAACTCCTAATATTTGTTAAGATCAATTTTGAAATTCCATGAAATCATTTTATTTCAAGCTCCTAAACCGTATAACCAGACAGAAATATTATTGGATTGTTAACATTGTTGATGTTGGATATTTTAACATAGTTTTCTCTTGCTTATGTTTTTCTCTAAAAAGATATGTCCTTTCTGCTAAACTATCTGAGTCGTTTTATGTAATAAAGTGAAACAGATGTACAATTTTTGTGCTTGCTTTATTGCATGTGCGTATCGTTTCCTCTATTATATTAGTTCTAACAATGGAACCACATTTATGCGACATTTTGTAGCGCGTTGTATGTATGATTCGCAAAACAATTATTGCCATAATAATTTGAGGGCAGGAATGATGCCTATCGTAATCGCGTTTACAAACGACGCAAACGTGCATTTGCTAACATATAAATTAATACAAAGTTGACCGGTGCAGTGGTGCCACCGATATGTTATTACTCGGATAATCTATCAGTAATAATATGATTTAACAAACATGAAATCACAATACATTTGGGAATGCCCCGCAGATGTTATAGAGTACTAAACGTGCCTCATGATATCGTAATTAATGCGAAAAGCATTTTGTTTCCAATGAAAGTGTATTCATTTGAACTCACGCACTAGCTTTAGTAATTTCGTTTAGTAATTTGCATTAGTGTGAAATCGCGGCGGGACGTGAATATGTAGCGCTCTCAAGCGATTTCATGCAATTATTTGAACATCGCGAATGCGACAGTGACAAAAAAAAAGAGAGAGAAAAAGAAACGCCTCGTAATTTACGGTGCATGATATGCATCGAAGCGGTTCACTTATCAAAGCGTGGAAAAACGCATTAATTAAGCGAATGTCGCTTGTGTCAATTAAAATCCTTTTTACGCATCGTTGCGTGCGTTGTTTTACGAAAATATATTAAAATAGATTTTTTTCTATTTTAGAGAGAGAGAGAGAGAGAGAGAGAGAGAGAGAGAGAGAGAGAGAGAG